GAGGAGGAGGAGAGGAGAAGGAGGAGGAGGAGGAGGAGGAGGCTGTGGTGCTGTTCAGTGACTCTGTGAATTCTCATCTTTGCCCTCCTGTGTGGTCGGGGATTTGGGGGAGCTTAGGGGGAATCACAAGTCTTGTCCCTTTCATCTTCATCCCCAGCTGTGCTGGTGGTATCAGGGCTCTGTCTCCCCTGAAATCTTTTAAGGAAGCCTCGGGCACTAAGCTGTGCTGCTGAGCCCTTCCCACTCCTTTGCCTTGGTCCCACCTTTCCAGAGGTGGCTTTGACTCCTCTCCCAGAAATCCAGTCCTTGGGCTGCATCTTCTGGACTTGAAGCTGGCACCAGGCAGCAGGGACCTCCTAGCAGGGACCCATGCTGGATTTGGCTCTGGAGAGGACGGTGAGCCAAAAGCTGACTTCAAAGCTTCTCATCTCCTCAGAGAGGTTTCAGGCTTTCAGCCTTGGCTGGGCTCGAGCGGTGGCACCTTCAGAAGGATTTCATCGCTGTGACGCACCTGCCTCAACTTCCGCTTCGGCTCGGGAAAACCACGACATTCCCGTGAAGTTTCCTCCCGCTCAGGCAGCCCTGGCTGGCAGGACAAGCCCAGGGCCGGCCTCGCTGAGCTCCTCCCGTTGCAGGTGGGCGCTGGTACAAGCGGCACCTGCGGTACCGGGTGGTGAACTGGCCGTCCTACCTGCCCCAGCACGAGGTGCGCCTGGCCGTGAGAGCCGCCTTCGAGCTCTGGAGCAACGTGTCCTCCCTGGTGTTCTGGGAGGCTCAGGACGGCCCCGCCGACATCCGCCTCACCTTCTTCCACGGGGACCACAACGATGGACTCAACAACGCCTTCGATGGGCCAGGTGCTGGTCGCTTCCCCCTCGTAAGCTTCTCTTTTACAACGTGGGCTCTTCCCCGGCAGGGAGGAGGTCTGGGGGTGATGGGGGCTCTGCAGTCTCTCCAGCCCAGTTTGTACCAGTTTGCTGTCTGATTTGGGGTCCCCCCTCCCAGCCCTGTGAGGCGGCTGAAGTGTTCCTGATAGTCCCTCCCCGTTTGCCAACACCCTCCGAACACGGGCTCCTCCGACAACACCCAAAGCCGAGGCACATTTAGGCAAAGCAGAGCGGCGTGTGCCGGCTGTGCCGCGGTCCCTGATGGCTCTGGTGTCCCCAGGAGGTGCCCTGGCTCACGCCTTCTTCCCCCTGCGAGGAGAAGCCCACTTTGACAGCGCCGAGCGCTGGTCCCTGCACAGCGGCAAAGGGCGCAACCTCTTCATCGTGGTGGCCCACGAGGTCGGGCACACGCTGGGGCTGCAGCACTCGCCCGTCAAGAGCGCCCTGATGTCTCCCTACTACAAGAAGCTCAGCAAGGATTTTGTCCTCAGCTGGGATGACATCTTGGCCGTCCAGAACTTGTACGGTGAGCCCGGCTTCCCTGAGCATCCCTCGGTTCCTCCAGGGCTGTTCTCTGGGATGGAGAGCGAGCAGCAGGGATGGGAGCAGGTCCCTGAAAGGGGAGAGGGATGCAGTCACTTGGGGCCCATCCCTGTGTGTGGCTGGGGAGGAAAAGGCAGGAGGTGGGACAGGTACCAGCGCCTCCAGGGCAGGGAAGGTTGGATTTGCTGCCCGCTTGTCAGCTGGTGCGTGTTTTTTGGGGTACCGAGGGATTTTTGCCACTGTCTTACAGAGTGGGATAGGAACCTGTGGGACAAGGAGTCTTGGGAGTCCTGGGAGTCCCTGTGCTTTGGGAAAAGTTGTTTCTCTGCCCCTTCTCTGGACTCATCACCCCTTGTTCCATCCCAGGAAAGCCCTCCAAGGGCTCGGCCATCCAGCTCCCAGGAAAAGTCTTCACTCACTTCCAGGATTGGAACACGGACCTGTACAGCAGGGACCGAGAGCAGAGGAGCCTCAGCACCTATTACTGCCACTCCTTCTTTGACGCCATAACCGCTGGTGGGTGTTGGCCAGCGTGAGCCTCTCCCAAAACGTGCACCCCTAGCCCTTGTCCCAGCGCTGCTGCAGCTCCCCGTGGTGGGAAAGGGGGGTTTGACTGCTCCACAGCTCCTGGCACTGGTGGCATCACTGATGCACAGTGAAACAGTGCTCCTTGAAGCCACAGAGATGTGTCAGGAGCAGGGAAAACATCCTAAAACTTGGGCCATGGCAAGGATTAATCACTGCAGGAGCTGAGCTGTGCAAGATAAGCCTTGAGCTGTGATCAGCATTTATCCTCTCACGGCTGGAGGCGAGGCAATGAATTATGGAAGCTGAGGGGGTGGCTGGAAAGGCAGGAGGAAACATCCAAACCCTGAGGATCCCCAAATCACCACGGGGCTGCGTGGGGAGGAGAGGGGAGCTGGGCAGGGGTGGTTCAATAAAATTTCTCACCTGGGGCACCTTCCCTCTGCCTCACAGACGGGGATCACAACCTCTACATCTTCAAGGGCAGCCACTACTGGGTGGTGTCGGCGAGCGGCAACGCCAGCGAGCCACGGCCACTGCAGCCACGCTGGCCCGGCCTCCCCGCCGGCATCGACGCCTGCACCTGGTCCCAGCTCAGTGGGAAGTTCTACTTCTTCAAAGGTGGGTGAGACCCAGCCAGGGGACTCCCCTCGGGGCTGCCCCTGCCTGCGGTGTGGTTGTCTGGGTCTGGCTGGAGCCACACAGCTCCTGTTGGTGTCCCTGAGCATTGCTGCGTCCTGGCTGTGCAAAACCCTGGGCTTGGTGCTCTGCCGTGGATGAGCCACATGGCCCTGGCAGCCACATCATTTCCTGGTGCCTCAGTTTCCCCATCAGGAGGGCAGCGCTCACTGGTGTGCCAAAGCAAATCCAGGTGCTGGGTCTTGGGGAGAAAATGCTCCCCAAACCACGAGGTGCAGGGGTGTGTGTGGGGGGGTTAATGGTGCACATGGATCCCTGTGTTGTGCCTGGAGGCTGAGCTGCTCTGGGAGCTGGGATATCATCCATAAACTGCCCCAGGAGCTGGGATATCATCCATAAACTGCCCCAGGAGCTGGGATATCATCCATAAACTGCCCCAGGAGCTGGGATATCATCCATAAACTGCCCCAGGAGCTGGGATACCATCCCTGAGCTGCCTGGCCAGATGGGGAGAGGAAGGTCAAACCAGGCAGCCTGGCTGCCAGGGTCAGCCCCAGCTTTTAGGGGAAAGCAGTCACTGGCTGTTCAGAAAAGGGGCTTTGTGCTGCAGCTGGGGCAGAGCCAAAGCCCCTCTGCCCCCCCAGCCCTCACCACTCCCTCCATCCTCCCCAGGGCTGCGTCAGGCTGTGACTTGTGAGCAGAAAGGGGCTTTTGTCTGCCCTGTTGTGGGGACAGGGTGCTGTGGGGACAGCCAAGCCACTGCTCCCCATCGCAGTTCTGTGCTGGTCCGGGATGTCCCAGCCTCAGCTGGATCTGTTTGTGACTGTCCCATTCGCTGTGCAGGATCAGGGGGAGGTTTGCCAGCATGGTGGTGGCCTTGCTCTGTCCCTGGTGGTCCTTTTCCATTTCTTCAAGCCCCTGAGCTGCCGTGCCTCAGTTTCCCCCCAGCCTGGTCCTCGGGGCAGCCCCGCATTGGTTCCTGTTGGGTCACCGGTGGGACGGATGTCACTGACACTTCACAAGGCTGGTCCTGTGGCAGAGTCTGTCCACATCTGGATCTCCTCCTGCCACAGACCCTACCAGGATGTGCTCTGACCCCTCCCCGTTCCCCGCAGGCGGCCGATGCTGGCGCTACGCCGGCTCCAAGCTGGAGGAAGGATTTCCCCGAAAATGCAGCGCCCTGGGGCTCCCTCGGCACCCGGACACCGCTCTCTACTTCCAGCAGCTCCGCCGGCTCGTCCTCTTCAAAGGCCCCAAGTACTTCGTGCTGGGCGAGGAGCCGCTGGCCGTGGAGCCCTACTACCCCCGCAGCCTGCGGGACTGGGCAGGGCTGCCCCCGGGCACGGCCGGGGCTCTCACCCACCGAGACCGCTCCCTTTACTTCTTTCGGGATGAGCAGTACTGGAAATTCGACCAGACCAAGCTGCGAGTGGTGGCCAGCGGCAAATGGGCAGCACAGCTGGCCTGGATGGGCTGCTGGGATGCCAACAGTGAGCAGGTCCTGTTCTGAGCACGGGATGGAACGGGGGGGTCCGGACCTCACCTCGCTCCCTGCTGCCCGGATCCCCCTTTGTGCGGCTCTGGCTCCTGTCTGAGCGTGGTTGGGCAGGGACTGGCTGCCCGTGGATGGATGGAGCCGTGACCCAGCAGAGCCAGGATGCAGCTGGGACAGATGTGCCACAGCCAGGTGCCCTGGAGGCTTTGGGACACGGGATTTTTTTTGGAGAAAAAAAAAAAAATCCATCAAAAAAAACCCAAAAAAGAAGTATCAGCCATGGAGACTGCAAACACACACATTCCTGTTAACTTTCAGGATATTGTTACACTTTTTTAAACCAAGACTGGGGTTTGGTGATACTTTTTGATATCTTTGTTGATACTTTTTGATACTTTCCTATGGCAGAGAAGTGTCTCGCTGCTGCTTGCTTTGGGGTTTGGATGGTTTTAAACGGCAGACTGAGAACGTCTCCTGCTTAAAACAAAAAGAGACATTTGAACAAAAATTTGGGTCCGTGTGGAGCTTTGCCCCTGCAGTTTGTTCAGACCCCGGGGTTGGGGATGCTTTGCTGGGCTGTGCTCATGTCCTGGTGCTCTGCTGAGACACCACCACAGTGGGATTTGGGGGCTGAAAGCAGAGGGGTTTGGTGTTTGGGGTGGAGAGAAAGGGGAGGCTCAGCTGAGCTGCTGGCCCTGTCACTGTGCAGCTGGCAGGCAGCAGGAGCATTGGCTTTTGGATGGGTTTGGGGTGCCTGGGTGGCTTCTGCAGGGTCCAGCAAGGGTGGTGCTCACCTGGCAGCCCTCACTGTGTGCAGAGAAAGTGCCTGTGCTCTGCTGGCTCTGCAAGGAACGGGATCAGCGAATTCCTGAGTCCCTGAGCCCCACCTGGATGAACAGGGGTGACGAATAACAGGGGAGGAGGGGAAGAGGAGAGGGCGAGCAGGACAGAAGGACATGTCTGTGCATGCAGGCTCACAGGGACAGTGTGGCTGCATATTCCTCATTCCTTTCCCAAGGCAGACTCCCCACCTGGAAACGCTGCTGGCTCCTGGGCACGTCCTGTCAGCAGAGGGCTGGGGATGGACCTCAGCTCCCAGGGCTGGGGATGGACCTCAGCTCCCAGGGCTGGGGATGGACCTCAGCTCCCAGGGCTGGGGATGGACCTCAGCTCCCCTAGGGCTGGAATTCCAAGGCACTGGTGCTGAGCAAGACAGGTCTCAGCTTTATGAAATTATTTATTGAAACCTTTTATGCAGTGGTTCTCCCAGGGCTCAGGCCCACTGGGTCCTGTTGTACTCTGTCAGGGTGCTGGGCTGTCCTGCCGTGTCAGGGTGCCCTCCTGATTCCAGCAGCTTCAATTATTCCTTTTTTTACTCATTTTTGCCTGTTCTAGACCGTCCCTGCAGCGCAGGGCTTGCCCTAAGCAGGGTGCCAGGGCTGGTACTTCCCCAGGGCTCTCAGTGCCAGATGCCAGCTGAGCTCTGGGTTTGGCAGGATGGGGAGCCAGCACTCTTCCCTTTCTCCACAACACTTGTGAGCAAGCCCTTCATGTGCAGACACAGGATCCTCATCTGCCTAAAACCTCAGGGGATTTTCCACGTTGCCAAAGAAACGCCCCCACAGCATTTTCATTGGAATTGAATGATAATAAGGTGACGTTGCCTGCAGGGAGTCCCAAGGGCTTGGAGACCTGACAGCAAATAAAAACCAACCTCTGGATATGTGGCGTTGGGATTTGTGCTTGTTTTCTTGTCACACTTTGGGTTTGGGTTTTTTTTTTTGGGTTTTTTTTTTTGGGTTTTTTTTTTTTAAAGCAAATCTCCAATTTCCTGACAGGGATGTGTTTGAGATGCCTTTGGGTGTTTAGGGTTGGAGTGGGGATTGTTGAATTTGGCCTCAGCTTTCATGCTTGCAGGATCAAAGAGGGGCGATGGATCCCACTGAAAACTCACTGATGATGATGAAAACACGGAAATTCTCTTTCCTACTTCATCCCCAAATCACTGAGGATTTTTCCACACTTTGGGATGTGCTAATAGGTTTTTTCCCCAGGCTGAATTCATTCATTATCCCTTTTCCTGTTCCCTTAGGAGAAAACCAGGCAACCCATCTGCTGTGTGACTGGAGGCTGAGGATGGGGCTACCTCAAATCCTCTCCCCTTTTCGTGTTTTCCATCTCTCTCCCCTGGCTTGCTGCCCTGGGTTTCCTGGGGCTGTGTCCTGTGGGGTGCCCTGGGACTCTGATGCTGCCAGGGCTGGGGCTGAGCTCAGTGTTGTTGGCAGAGGCAGCAAGGGTCACTCTAGATTGTCACCCCATCAGTTTGGGGGGGTCTGGAAGAGGTGAACTCACGCCCTGAGCCTTTCAATCCACCCCACTGGGTGCCCTGGATGGAAATCCAGCTTCTCAAGGGTTCTTTTCTCCTGCTGGGCTCCCTGGCTGGGCACATCAGGCGCAGACTCCTCCAGCCTGCCAGACATTCCCCAGACAGAATAGCTGGGATTCTTGCATTCCCTCCCCCAAAATGACCCCAGCTGGGCACTGATCTGCAGCGACATCAGCAGCTGGCTCCAGGCAGAGGAGGGGTCCCCCAACACAGCAAGGAGCCCCACAAAGCCCAGGAGAGGCTCTGTTTTGGTCCCGAGGCATGAACATTTCTCTGGCAGATTTGTTTTTTGCAGGAGTACCTGGCTGCTGTGGCAGCTCTGCCAGGCTTGGCTTAGGGAGGGAGTATCCCACATTCCCAGAGGTGCCCACTCATGTGCAGTTATTTCCTTAAAGCCCCAACTCCTGGAGTCACTCCATTTGGCCAAAGACCTCGCTGTTGTGGCAATGAGGGAGCAGAGGAGCACAGAACAGAGAAAGCCCAAAGGTGGGTGTGAAAATAAACCCTTCTCACCTTGAGGTTGCCCTGAAGATGCACCTTGTGGCCCTCAGGTCACCTCACCTGTGGTGGAGGCGGCTGTAGGGGTTTTGGGGTGGGGGAAATCCCTCCTTGTGGGGTTGGGAACAAACTGGGAGCTGATGATCTGCTCTCTAACTCCTTCCTGCCCCAGAGCCAGGGCCCTTGAGGGGGTGGAAATCCACCCCTGGCATGGCTGGGGAGGAGCAGGGCTGTGACAGAGGAGCAGGTGCTGAAGGGTTAACAAGGAGTGTTTGCAGCCAGTCCCTTGTCACCAAGGAGAAGGGATCAGCACTTGGGAAGGAAACAAAACACCCACTGCCCAGGAGGGTGATTTCCTCTCCCCGAGCAGCACTACAGCTCTGGGACCCCGGGAGCGCTCTGGACACCAGGACAGCGTCACCACCCCCTGTGGCAGGGAGCAAGTGGCACCAGGTGAGTGTGGCTGCCGGGGAGCTGGGCCGGGGACAGGGCTGGGGACGGGGCTGGGGCACCTCTCCATGTCCCTTTCATCCTTTTCCCTCACCCTCCTCCCAGGCTTATGGCAGAATGTGGGGGGCACCGGGCACGGGGGCGCGGAGCATCCGTCCCTACCGGTCCAGCGAGCAGTACCTGTACGCCATGAAGGAGGACCTGGCAGAGTGGCTGAAGGAGCTCTATGACCTTGACATCGGGGTGGGCACCTTCTTGGAGGTGCTGGAGACGGGGGCTGTGCTTTGCTCCCACGCCAACCACGTCACCCAGGTGGCCGGGGAGTTGGCTCGTGCCTGCCCCGATGTGGCCCAGCACCTCCACCTGCCCACCGCCGGCGTCACCTGCAACCTCACAGCACAGCCAGGCACCTTCCAGGCCAGGGACAACGTCTCCAACTTCATCCAGTGGTGCAGGAAGGAAATGGATATCAAAGGTAGGATGCCAGGTTCCAGCTGTCCCATGTCTCCGTGTTCAAGTCCCCCTCCACCCCCTCCATGTGTCCCCCAAGCCCAGCGCCCCCCTGGCATGGGACAGCACCAGGTGCCTGCATCCCTGAGCTGGAATTCCTCCTACGAGGTCCTGCAGTGTTTGTTTGGGTGCAAATATGCACAGGAGGAATGGAAAAGGAAAGGGTGGATGGCACAGTGTGTCCCTGCCAGGCACAGCACGATCCCAGCCCTAAGGACAGCAGGAGAAGTCCTGGCTCTGAGCAAAGCCTCTATCACCCTGTCCTACCACCGTGGATGCCCAGGAAGGAGAGTGGCACAGAGCAGGACGTCCTCAGGGCACTCAGACCCTGAGTTTTGTGACTTTGGGAAGCCATGAAACAACTGTAGATGCCCGAAAGGAAAGGCTCTTCCTCCTTTGTTATTTATCCCAACTCTTGTTGAACCCAACCCTATTCCTGGTGGGATGGCTCCAGTGAAGAGCACCCTTCTGGGTGGGTTCTGACTCCATCTGTGCCCCCCATCCCCTCTGCCCCCATCCCCACATCCCCTGGCTCAGCCCAGCCCTGCCCTGCCCTGCCCAGACGTCCTGATGTTCGAGACAGAGGACCTGGTGCTGAGGAAGAACGAGAAGAACTTCGTGCTGTGCCTGCTGGAGCTGGCACGCCACGCTTCCCGCCTCGGAATGCGCGCCCCGACCCTGGTGCAGATGGAGGAGGAGATCGAGGAGGAGCTTCGGCAGGAGCTGGACCTGCCTCCCATGGACACCGCCCTGCCCCGGGGCCCCAGGAAACCACGGGACCTCAACAACCTCGACCAGATGGTACAGAGGGGAGGGGGGTGGCATGGAGATGGGCATGGAGATGGATGGGATGGAGGTGGATGGAGATGGATGGGATGGGCATGGCCACCCCGGGAGCTTTCCCAACAGCCCTGGTGAGGACCCATCCCTGCTGCCCGCAGGTCCAGCACCTGGTGAGCCGCTGTACCTGCCCTGTCCAGTTCCCCATGATCAAGCTCTCCGAAGGGAAATACCGTGTGGGGGACTCTGACACCCTCATCTTTGTGCGGGTAAGTCTGCTCCACCCTGTGCCTTCGGGGGAAAAGCATCAGGAGTTCTGCTCTGCTGCCGTGGCCCCTTTTCCGTAATCCCCCCAAAAGGGCCCGTGTGGGAATTTTGGCCGCATTTCCCAAAGCAGGGCAGTGGGAAGCTCAGCCCTGCTATAGGTGTTGGTATGGATTGAACCATCCACGCGTGTGGGACCAAACCTGACATCCCACAGAGCCAAAGCCTGGTCTCACCCATCAATGGGAGCACCGGGGTGTTCTAAATCCATCCCTAAGCCTGGCCAAAGAACTCAGCACCTGACGAAGAACAGGGATTTTCCAAAAGGATTCCCACCCTCCTTGTGGTGACGAAATAAACCTGCCGGGAGGGCGGCAGGAGCTGAGCCAGGGTCTCAGCCGTCCTTTGGGACACCTGGTGGCACTTAGGGCAAGCCCACAGCTCTCGCAGCCCGGCCGAGCGTGTCACCCCCCGGCTGGCGGTGTCCCATGGCACGGACATTCCCGTGCAGATCCTGCGGGAACACGTCATGGTGCGGGTCGGGGGCGGCTGGGACACGCTGGAGCATTACCTGGACAAGCACGACCCGTGTCGCTGCACCTCGCTCTGTGAGTCCCCGCGTCCCCAAACCCCGCGGCTGGGTGGGCCGGGGGGGAAATCTGTGCTTGGTCTCGCTGCTTTTCGGGGATATTTTCAAGAGCGGGAGGCTTTGGTACAGCCATACCTCGTTGTTTTAATGTTGTTTTACAACATTACTCGTTGTAGTGTTGGGTTTTGGGGACTTTCTTTGGCTTTGGTGGCCACTAGAGGTCATGGAAGACTTTTGAATGGAGCCGGACCCCAAAAGCCGCTTTGAAGGGAGCGCATCTCTCTGCCGGCACCCTCGGCGGGCTGGATGCCGAGCCAGGGCTGGGTGGGCTGCACCGGGGGGTGGCTGCAGGGGACAGGGCTGCTGAGCTTTGTCCCCACAGCTCACAAACAAGCCTGGAAAGCCCGGAGCCCGCAGCAGCAAGTGCAGCACGAGGTGCGGCTGTGCCCGACCCCGAGGGCGGCCGCCCGCAGCCCCCAGCCTGCGCTGCTGGTCAGCCGCTCCCAGAGCCCCCTGCCCCCCGTCCCTTGGGGGTCCCGTGTCCCCCCTGGCCCCGGCTCCCCTGCCACCCCCTCGCCGGAAGGCTCGGGTCGCCGGCCGGGTGCCAGCCCCCACCGAGAGCAGCCCCGGAGGGTCCCTTCGGGCAGGTGAGTGGCGCAGAGATGCTTCGTGCCTCCAACTGCTTCAGTTTTCTCACATCCTTGGAATTTTTTCTCCCCTCCCTTCTGGAGGCGCCCAGCTCCAGGCGGGATCGGGGGGGATGCAGCAGCTCCTTGCTGCGCTGTCTCTCCCTGCAGGATGCGGGAGCCACCCGCTGTCCCTCTGGGGAAGCAGCCGCCACCATCCCGGTCCCCGGCTCGGTCCGGCTCCCCTGGGCACGGCGCGAGGGGCCGGGCACCCATCCCTTCCCGGCTGAGCTCCCCGAACGGCTCGGGGGTCCCCGGGGCACCGCAAGGGACCAGCCCAGGGAAAGCCACCCCTGTGGCAGCGGCACGGGGCAGGTCCGCAGCACCCAGTCCCCGGACGGTCCCAGCACCTCCGAGAAGCACCCAGCAAGGAGGAAAATCGTCTGTGGTGACTGCCAGGCCACAGGGAACGGGGACACCCACCACAGTGACACCCCGAGCCCCCAGTCCCTTAAAGGTCCGTGCCTCCAGTCCCCGAAAGGTGCTCGCCCCCTCCTCGCACCGAGATGTCCCGGAAGACTCACAGAGCCTGAAAAGCTCACGGGAAGGGAGGCAGAGAGCTCTTGGCCGGGGCCGACAGCCCTCAGCCCGGAATTCCTCCAGCCGACCCCCGAAACTGGACAGCGGCCTTAAACCCCGCAGTAAAGGCAGCCCGGCCGCCTCCCGGCCCCCCACCCCTCCGGGCCGTTCTGCAGAGGGGTGCAAGGTCTGGGAGGGTCCCCAGGGGACACGGCAGTGCCACCCAGCCCCGAACCCAAGGGCTGCGGCTGCCGAGGGACCTCGGGTGCCAGAGGATGAAGCCGGGGGAGGCTGCGGCCCTGGCGATGGGGCTGGGGGGCTCCGGGGGTGCTGTGGGAACTCGCAGCCCCCCGGCTATGACAGGGTGGTGGAGGAGCTCTCCCGGGGGCCGCAGCCCCTGCGCCCTGTGGGGATGTGGAGCCAGGTCCCCAAAACCCCCCCACGAGCTGTCCCGCAGCTCCCGGGCCCGGGGGAGGAGGAGCGGCCGGGACTGGGGGGGCAAACCCCGCGGGGAACCAGGGCCAACAACGCCGCCAAGCCCAGGCGGTGCCTGAAGAAGCCCGAGCGTGTGCCCTCCATCTACAAGCTGAAGCTGCGGCCCAAGGTGCGTCCCCGGCGGGACCACAGGCCGGGCAAGCGCCCCTCGCGCATCCCCACCCCGCTGGGGCATCGCCCCCCTGCCCCCCGCACCCAGCACCGCCCCCCGGGGACCCCCCGAGCCCCCCAGTCCGGCAGCACCCGCCCCACGGCCGAGCCTCCCCTGGCTGACAGCGGCACATGGCTGAGCGAGGATGATGAGGAGTCGTGGGTCTGAGCCCACCCCGAGAGTCGGACAGACGGACGGACCCCTCCCTCCAAAGGTGGGAGCGATGCTGAAGCTGAAACTGGAGCTGCAGTGCCCGAGGATTCCAAGCGAGGGGCCTCACCTCACTTCGAGAGCTGCGCCCCCTCCTTCCCCATGAATTTTTTCTGTACTGGTAATCCTGCCAAGCAGGCGTTTTGTACTGGTTTGGGTGGAAGAATCCAGCCCCAAATTGAGAGAATGGGATGTTTTCTGCAGGAGGAAGGGTTTAGCCCCCCCTGAAGTGGGGACAACCCACCCCTGACATCTGTAAAAATGTCAATGTTCCTCGATGTTCCCCATCTGCACCACGGGACAGTGAGCCTCGTGTGTGACAGCTCCAGAGTGCTTGGGTCACTCAGGTCAGGGGGTCACGGGAGGGGTCCTTGGCTGACCCCCGTGGTCCCTCCTGGGGTGATGGATGTCACTGAGGGTCACAGCAGGCACTGCTGCACCCTGAGCCCTCAGCCACAGACCCAGCAATGCTGGTTGTGCAATAGAGATGTACCAAAACTCTTCTGTTTCCACATCTTTTCTGTGTGGGTAGGGAGGGAGAGAGGATAATCCTGAGATTATCCCATCCCCGTCCCTCTGAGAACACCACAAGGCCCAGGAGAGCCCCATTTTCCACGAGAGGATGAAGTCAGCCCCACTTCTCTGCAGAGGAGCAGCAAATGTGAGCGCTGGGGCTCTGGGAATTCAAAACCTGCCGGCAAAAACACTCCTGAGGCTGGTATGGAACAAGGGGGACAGACCTGATTTTTAATTCAATTTCAAAGAAGGAGGTGCAGGGCGTCACAGGCGGTGTAGACACCTCGGGAATCTCTGACAAGGAGTCCAGGGGGGGAAAAGAAAGCCAAGTCCAGGCAACTGGGATGCTCAGTGGGGCAGGAGGAGGAGGGAGGGAGAGGGAAGCATCCTTGGTAGGGCCGAACCAAACCCAGGCATCACCTCCACGAGCACGGGGGCAGAAACCTGGCACTGTCCTGGGCACAGCAGTGGGGCCATCCCAGCCTGTGCCAGGCCCAGGCTGCTCTCAGCAGGACCAGGGTGGCGTTGGGCGAGTGGTAAATCTGTAGTAAGGTGTGAGTAGGGCTGCGGGGTGCTCGTGGCTGCTGCTCCCGTGAACTCCGATCCCTGCGCCTGGAAACCTCGGATCTTCCTGCCTGGGATTCCCTGCCTGCACCCAGGGTGCCACCACCACCACCTACCCCTTCCTGGGCTCTTGGGAAAGTAACTCTTTGTAGCCCTCGTTTTCCCGGGAGCTGGGAAATGCTGTCGAAGCAGTGAGAGTTGTCATTATTACTAATATAACTTCCTCTGTCTATAAAGTACAATAGAATATAACAATTATATTTATAACCTTTTTTTTTTGTTTTTGTTTTTTTTTTTCTTCAAAATACTAAATAGATGCTATAAAAACCTGTAACTAATTGTGCTATAAACTGCAGGCTACAGGGTTATAACAAACAATGTATTGGCTTAGTCGTTGATATGTGTACGTCGGAGCACTTCATAAATGCTTTATTATTAGCATTTACTGAGGAATTTCCTTCTCAGACAATTTAGAGGGATAAAGCTCTAGCCAGAGATCGATAAGTGGACTTACATGTGTTAATAAATCCTGACAGGATGAGCTTGGCTGGGGGAGCCGGGCTTGCCGTGAAGGCCAGGGATGGTGACAAGTGCCACTGCCCTTCCCGGCTGAGATGGCCCCGTGTCCCCTCCCATTGCCTTTCCTCATTTTTTCCTTTTTTCTGTTAATTTTGGAGCAAGGGGTTTGATTCCCCAAGCAGGGAGGGAGGAGCAGGGTGTGCACCCCCAGCCCTGGGGCAGGGATGGGGCGGTGAGAGGCACTGGAGCTCAGCTGGAGCTGCCTTTAATGGGAAGCATTTCGAGGGCACAGTGGAGCTGCTGGGCCGTGGACACCTGGCTGTGGTGGGAGACAGGGCTGGGTGTCCTGGTTTGCTGCCCAGAGCAGCGCTGAGCCCCTCCAGCTCCTTGCTACAGCAGGAATTACAGAGATGGTTTTGCTGGAGGATGGATCAGACACAGATCCTGCCTCAGGAGGTGAGGATGGTGTTTCCCTGTGTCACACAGGGACCAGCCATGGACAAACCACGACCCCTTTGGCCTCTTGCTCGCCCTTCACTGCCCCATCATCATCATCATCATCTCCTAACAGGGGCTGCCCTTTGCCAACCCACCCTGCAGGGCAGGCCGCAGGCGAGCTGCAACTCTGGTGCGAAAAATAAACCAGAAGATTAAAAAATAAATAAATAAAATAATAAAAAAAAGCGGGGGGACTCACTTTCCTATAAGGGATATGCAGAGAGAAAAAAAAACCCCAAGAACACAACTGGAAGTGCTGCTCCAGCTCCCGGCTGCTGCCGAGGGTCTCACCGGGATGGAGGTGACATCCCTGCGGGAAAAGCCGGCGGGGTCAGAGCTGGTGGCCCTGCCGGTGGCTGCCATGGCACAGGGACAGTGGACCCCTGCCCACCTGCCCGGGACAGGGCGGGGCTGGGGTGGAACAAAGCCGGTCACCTGCTGAGCCCGGGACGAGAGGTAGCGGAGGGGTGACCTGACCGGCAAGGAGCGTTCCCAGATTATTTGGTGTTCACAGGCTGGGGGGAGGAGAAGCCTTCGGGGCTGTGCTGGGGCAGAGGGGAGCTCCGAGCCCTGGGAAGGCAGAATCCAGCATCCTGGGGATATCAGGAGCAGGATTGTGACTTACTTTTTTCCCCCCTTTCTCGCTTTTATCCAGAAATTCCACCTGGAAATTTCACCCGACCGAGCTCAAAGACAGCCCATGAACCTGGCTGCTCTCCATAGGGAGAAATCCCAGCTCCACAAGGGGAAAAGCAGGATTCCTATTTCCCTATGCCCCAGAGACAGAAGCACGCCCAGAACAGCGGGGTACAGGCGCTGGGTAATTCCCTTCCAGGAGCAGGTGATGGCAGCAGCAGCGCTGCCCCTGCGCTGCCAGGGCAGGGACCGGCAAGGATGAACCGACAGCCAAAATCTGGGCACCCTCCGAGGCTCCTCCTCCACCCTCCAGTGCCGGGCACACCCCCCCGGGATGGCTTCGGCCTCAAGCACCGGAGAGAGCTCAGGGGTTTAACCAAGGATCACCCACACCCTTCACCATGCCCAGGCAGCCTGGCCACCTCCTGTCCATCCTGGCCACCTCCTGTCCATCCTGACTACCTCCCTGTCCATCCTGGCCACCTCCTGTCCATCCTGACTACCTCCCTGTCCATCATGGCCACCTCCTGTCCATCCTGGCCACCCCCTGTCCATCCTGGCCACCCCCTGTCCATCCTGGCCACCTCCTGTCCAGCCTGGCCACTGCACCGCCCTGCCCAGGGCGCCCCCTCCCCAGATGTCACCGCAGGGGACACAGAGGTGCCTCCAGCGCAGCTCCGGGGAGCGGAGCCGGGGGTCCCCGGGGGCAGGGGGGGCTCACATCTCACATGATGGTGCAGCGGTTCCTGCGCAGCGCGCCCTGGAAGCGGATGGTGGTGTGGACGTGCTTGCAGCGGGCACAGCCCACGCTCTTGAGGAGCTCGCTGAAGAGCAGCAGGATGTGCCAGTTGTACTTGGCCGAGCACTCGATGTAGCCGCACTTCCACGTCTTCTTCACCAGGTTGGAGACGTTCCAGCGCGGGATGACCCGGCCCCGCTGCAGGTCCCGCTTGTTGCCCACGATGATGATGGGCGTCTCCGAGGTGCCGATGACCCTGGGGAGGGCGGGCGGTGAGAGAGGATGGAAGGGGACGGGGCACAGCGGGACAGCGCCACCGGCCCGCAGAGCTCATCCCATCCCAAATGGATGGGATTGCCAGGCAGAGTGTGCCTTGTCCCCTTGTCCCTCTCCACGGCCAGCCACCCCTCGATGCCGTCTCCAGCTGCTCACTCAGGGCTCACCCACACGGGATACCTGCCTCGGCTTCTGCTGTTTGGGTTTTTGGGCTCCCATCCCTGCAAAGGGGTTTGGTGCCAGTCTAATGCCAGGATGTGCCCCCCTGATGCCCTTCTCCCTCTCCAGGAGCCGCAGGGCTCCACCACCGTGGGCACACAGCATCCAAAAGCCATCCCTACCTTGTTTCCAGGATCTGCTGGCGGATGGTTTTGATGTACTCGAAGCTGTCAAAGCAACAGATGTCATAGACCAGGATGTAGGCATGGACGCTCCGGAGCCCCCTGCAACACACGTCCGCCCACTCCTGCAAGGTGCAGAGAGGGATCAATCCTGGCTCAGCCCCGCTGCCGTGCCTGGGGGATGCCCTGCCCTGCCCTGTTCTGGGGATGGGCACCCCAAGGAGGCTGCTGTGGCAGCAGGGGGGCTGCACGTTCCCCAGCCCTGACCTCAGCACCCACCTCTGCTCTGCCCTGCCCCATCTGTGTCTGCCCCCACAGCTCCAGAGATCCCTTATTCCCCTTTTCAATTTTGGGTTTGCCAGCCCCAATCCCGCTCCTGAGTGAGGATTGCAGCCTAATTACAGCTCCAGTGCTGAGCTGGGAGTGGGGCTGAATGCCCCCTGCCCTGTGTGTAAAAGCTTCGTCCTCCAGAGCTGCTAATGAGCTGTGTTAACTAGTGATGCACCCTGGCTTTTGGGGCAGGGCAGGTGAGGAGGATGCTGAGCCCCATCTGAGGTCTGAGGGAGAGGCACCAGCAGCTCTGTGGGTCGGGGGGGGAAGGTGGCAGCAGGTCTGTCTGGAGGGGACATGGGGACAAAAGAGAAGCAGAGGCTGCTCAGGAATTGAGTCTGTGAGAGCAAGATGTGGATCCAGGGCAGAGGCAGGCAGGAGTGGCCTCTCTACAGCCAAAAATCTGAAGCTGTGAGAAATTCATGCTGTTAGGAAACCCCTGTGTTTCTGGGAACAACGGGAATCTTTTTTCCCCATGCTAAAAGAGTGAAAATCTGCCTCACTCGGGGCACTTTCCCACCCCAGCAGTGGAACCCTGCAGGCAGCACTGCAAAACCCTCCCGAGTGCCTCCGGAAAGGAGAAAGATTCTCCAGGGAGGAAAAGCATCACTTCTCCCTGAGCAAACCCCTTCAGAGCCATGAATCAGCCCTTCCCGGGTTTATCATCAGAATGAGATGGGGAAAGGGGAGTTTTGGGATGTGCGTTGATCTCCGTCACTGAGGGCAGCACGGGAAGGAGCTGGGAGGGGGCAGTGACACAGCCTCTCCCTGTCCATGCAGGGGAGATGTGGGGAGATCCTCAGGCTCAGAGATGCAGGAGGATGGAGCAGCAGCCTCTGGCACATCTGGGAGACAACAAACTGCAGCTATTTCACCGTGCTGGGGGGCAGCTCAGCCATGTCAGGATGGTTTTCCTCACGCAGTGCAGGTTTCCCGGGATGCTCGAGCTGCAGAAGTGTTGCACTGCGGGAGCAGGATCGCAGAGAGCCACTGGCTCCTGCTCCTCTTCCAGGACAGCACTGCAGGGATGCTTCTCCTGGCACAGAGCTGAGTCCAGCGATGTTTCCCAGCAGACAGAGCCATATCCCTCACCATGGCCCTCTCCTTTCCCCTCGGAGCCATCCCTCTGATCACCCTCTCTTCCCTGGAAACCTCCATCTGCTCCCACCGGCCGCCTCCTCTGGAGTGCAGCAAGGCAAGGAGTTAATGGAGTGTGTAAACATCGGCTGCCGTGTCAATAAATTACCCTTTGCTATTTCGGGCTGTTTCTCACGCTGACCTTTTGTTCCCTGCACTCACCCATTAATTTTTAAACCTTCTCCTCTCCCCTGGAATGCCCACTTCACCTCCTGCCCGATGGCACAGGGACTCTTGGAGCACTACATGACCCCGTTCCTGCTGGGGACAGGGACACTGTGACTAACTGAGGTGGCCCCACTGGTGGCACCGCCCTCCAGCGTGGCTGCAGTCACAGCCGGGAACCTCCAGCTCCTTTCCCCACAGTGGTGACACAACTTGTGTCCCTGGGACTGGGGCTATGGCATGAGCTTAAAATCCCCTTTTCCCCCATTAACTCCATCCAGAAGTTGTTGGCACTGGTGGCAACATTTTCCAACCCCACACTGCCTTGTGGGGGTGCTTTGGAAGCACCTGAGGGTAGAGGAGGAGCTGGTGGGTTCAGAGCTCCAGGAACAAGCCCAGGCCATGCTGGAGAGGCTGATGGCCACTCCCAGGAGGGGACAAGCTCTGCCTGGCTTGAGCAGTGGGTGCATCAGGGCTCTGGCTCTCCAGGTTTTCACCTGAATGCTCTGCTGTTGGCTCTAACAGGCATGGGACTGGATCCCAGTGCCCCAGGATCCCAGCACTCCAGGATCCCAGTGCTCCAGGATCCATCCCAGCACTCCAGAATCCCAGTGCTCCAGGATCCCAGCTGGACGTGGCTGTGGGCACTGCCAGAGCCACGCTCCTTGGAGCAGGATGCCATCTCTCTTGTGTTCATTGTCACCAAACTTTAAAGCACATTTTATCCTGGACCTGCTCAGCCACGAGGACACAATCCCTCATTTAGCAACCAAACCCTGATGTGGAGGGAGAAGCATCCCCCAAAAAAGCCATGCGGAACTGGAACCCCACAAAATTTAACAGCAAAACCCCACGGAGGTCACCGGAGACCCCCCAGAGGTGGAGGCCCCCTCGGGTGCCCCCCTACCTGCAGGGTGTTGACAGGGAAGGCGGTGATGGGGGGAAAGTCCATGATCTGCAGGTCGTGGACGTGGCCGTTCATGACCACGGCGGGCAGGTAGACGCGGCGGGCCGTGGTGGGCACGCACACCTCGCTGAACTCGTTGTACAGGAACTGCCGGACTATGGCACTCTTGCCCACGCCCTGGGCTCCCAGCACGGCGATCTTGAAGGTTGCCACCATCCCGCCGCACGCCGGCCGCTGCCCTGGTGCTGCCTCCGCGGTGCCGAGGCCGCATATTCCCGAGCAGGGGGCCTCAGCCCCATTCAGGATGCATTTCCCCTCCGGGACTCCACGTCACTGCAAGGCCAAGGAGAAGCTGGTCAGGTCTGAGAGACACCCTGGAGTTACGGTGGTGTCGCTTCAGGGGAGGTTTTCTCAAGCAGGAGCTGTCCTTGAGGAGCAGGAGCTGCCCCCTTGGCGCTGCAGGACCTCAGGGTCCCCCTTGGAGCCTCCCACCCCAGCAGCCAAGGAAAGCCAGGATTTGAGTGAACTTTATTCCAGGAGGGTTCTCACAGGCACATTCAGCCCTTTCAGTACCAGAGCAAGGGAAAGGTCTGTCTGTGGCTCAGGGTTTGCTCAGCAGGGTCCCAGGCTGTGCTGGGGACTCAACCCATGGCCGCTGTTACCAGCTGCTCCTTCCCGGTGCTGCCCCAAGCCGGGAAATCCATCTTCCCTCCTCTTGGACAGCCGGAATTGCCTTTTGCCGGGTGGGGGGAGATCGCTCTGTGCCTGCGAGCGACAGCTTGAACGTTTCGTTTCAGGCTTTGAGCACTTGGGCAATTAACCTGATGGGGAATCATTTGCCAGCCAGCTGCCAGGGTGAGCCCGGAGCCACCGCATGTGCTGAGGGACCCCGGGGCAGGGCCCACGTGTGGGGGGACACGGGGAGATAACCCACACACAGGAATGGGGGAGCTGAGGAGTCCAAAGACTCCAGGACCGGGAGCTGTGATGGGGATGGCAAGGGAGAGGGGATGGTCCCACTTCCACTCGCTCTCTTCCCTAGGAAGCAGCTTGTGCTTTATCCCAAAGCGTGGATGCTTTGACCGATTTCTGATTCTCTGGTTCATTTTCCCTAAAAAAGCCATCTCCGAAGTGCAGGGCAGCAGCTGAAAGTGTCGGGTTCAAACACCCTGTTGTGCCTGTTTGGTGGAGATTATTTACCCCGGGGGGAGCCTGGGCACAGAGGCTGGCACTGCTGGGTGCTGGAGTGGCCAAGCTCCCCGGGATCCCTTCAGCTGGGCCATGGCTCACACCATCCTCACCTTCCTCACTCCAGCACTGGGCACCTTGTCCCCCCGTGCTGCTGGCGCTGTCCCCCGGGGTGCTGGCTGTCCCCAGCCCCGGCAGCGGGAATGTTTCTGTGCCAGATGCAGGGAAATGGGGGGTGCGGGAGCCCCCGGGCCCGACCCTGCCAGGGCCTTTCTCCGCCAGCAGACAGCACTGTCACTGCAGGTCCCGGGGGCCACTCTGCTGCAGGGACAACCCCGTCCCCACAAACCCTTCCTCCTCACGGCAGCGTCCCCAGCTCCGCTGCGGGGCCGGAGGGTGATGGAGCGGCACAACTGGAAACCCAGTGCCCGCAGGGCTCCCTGGAACTGGGGCACAGGCTGAGCCCCGCTGCGCCTCCGCCAGAACCGCCTCGCCCTCTGTGCTGGCACGAGGGGCACCCCAAAAACATCAGAGGCCGACCTGACGGTCCCCAGCCCTACGAGCAGCTACTGCGGGAAACTGAGGCACGGCGGGGACACCCCACGGTGGGGTGGTGGAGCCGGGACCAGCCGCGGGTCCTCGGGCGCACCAGGCCGGGCTCCGGGGGCTGCAGGGCCGGGCGGGGGCTCGCAGGGGGCTCCAGGGAAAGGTGGCGCCGGCCCCCGCTGCGACCTTGGCCATCCTGCCACGCCTGGGGCACTGGAAGGGGCAACCCCTGAGCACCGTAGGGCGGGGGCGGCGGCAGCGTCCCTCACCCCACATCCTTCACCCCACATCCCTCACCCCACATCCCGCCCCCCGCATCCCCCGCACCCCCCGCACCCAGACCCTGCCGGGGATGCTCCGGTCGCGGTGGGCAGCGCGGCACCCCCGGCCCGCGGGGTGGCTGGAGGTGATCGGGGGATGCCGAGGGGAGACGACACCCGCAGCCGCCGCGCCGGCGGGCGAAGGGGACCGGAGAGCACCGGAGCTCAACTTTCGCTGGGGACCCCCTCGTCCCCTCATGCCAGCCACCCCCGGCCCTGCCCAGCGGTAACTTTGCCCTCCCCGTCCTGCCCTTCCCGGCGGATCCCCGTACCTGGCAGCGGCGGCCCGGGCCCGCGGAGCCCCGGCGGGCGGCGGAGCCATGCGGCGAGCCCGGCTCGGGGCGGGCGGCCCCGCTGCAGAGCCCCGGCCCGGCCCGGCCCCCGCCCGGCGCGGCGACACCGGGGGGCGGCGGCGGGGAGCGGGGAGCCCGGCCGGGGCACGGCGGGGAGGGGCGGCGGGGTCCGGGCAGGGATGGAGGCAGAGCCCGGTGGGATGGCGGGGATGCCCAGGAGGGAGGCGGGCAGCGCCCGGGGAGGGATGGAGGGAGGGATGGAGGGAGGGAAGCAGGCAGAGCTCAGGCAGGGATGCGGGCAGCGCCCGGGGAGGGAAGGAGGCTCTGCCCAGGCAGGGATGCAGAGGATGCCCGAGGAAGGATGCGGGCAGTGCCCGGCAGGGAAGGAGGCAGCACCCGGGAAAGGAGGCAGGGAATGCCCAGAGCGAGCCGCAGGAATCCAGCAGAGACACCGGCTTATCCCGGGGCTCTGGGGAGGCGCCGATGGGAAAAGACCCTCCCATGTCCCCCCTGCAGTGTGCTGGGTGCAGCGCCGTCACCCCTTCCCTCCCCGGCGCCCCCGGCATCTGGGCGCTGATGCCCACCCCGGAGCAGCCCCTCGGGCCAGATTCCTTCGGGGGAGGTGGGCAGGACCCCTCCCGGGGAGCCTTTCCCTCCTCCGACCCTGCTGCTCGCTGTGCTCTCGGGGACAGAGCAGGCTTCACCTCCTCCCGCGGGCAGGGCTGGGGGGCTCTCCGTGCGCGGGGGGGACCCTGAGCCCAGGCTGGTTGCAGGCCCCATCAAAGGAGGGACATTTCTGTGGCAGAGGCTGCATTTTTGGGTCACCCCGCAAGGAGCATTTACCTGCGTGCTGGACAGAGGGAAGATGCTGGCTGTACCTCCAGGAACATGGTCCAGGCCCCCGGGACACGCTGCTGATGGACTCCCTGCACCTCTCTGCTCCTCGAAACAGACCCCAAACCCCTCTCCGGCCCCCCGTGACACCAGCGAGCACCGAGGTGTCTGCACAGCTCTGGCTGCGATCGCACGGGCTCGGCTGAGCCCGAGCACCGGCGACAGCTCGGCCGGGCTCCCCCCAGCCTCGTCAGCACCTTCGGCTGGGAAAAATCATCTCCGGGGGCTCCTCTCCAGGGTGAGGAGGGGGTGCAAGTGGGAACACAACGCCGCATCCCTCCTGGGGTACAAGGGGATGGCAGACACAGCCCCACGGCCGGGGGGTGCAGCCTTTGTGCCACCCCGGCATCAGCACCGGGCAAAGCGGGTCACAGCCCCTTCACCGTGCCCCGCGTTACAGCCGGGCTGGCAGAGAGCTGGGCGTTATTTCCCTGCAAAGAACAGGATATTTCTGTGTCCCGGGGGTTATTTCCAGCCCGAGCTGCTGCTCCGCTTCCCCGCATCGCCATAAAGCAGCGCCGAGCCCTGGAATGTTTCAGGGAGAGCGCAGGGATCGGGCTGCACATGAACTCTCCTGCACAATTCAGGCTCCAGCCTCGGGGCTATTTTTAGCAGTTCCCTCCGAGATGCTCTTCAGTTGCAGTTTTATGTGTGAAATTTAATATACGAGGATGGGGGGGAGGGGAGTGGGGCTGGATGCTGGCACGTCCCTGCTGGCTGGGAGGTTTATCCCAGTCTCAGCGACACGAGTCCAAGGCAAACCTGAAATCATCCATCCAAGAGCTCCTGTGCTCTGATGTGCAGGTGGCAGCAGGAGACAGGCAGAGCTGGCGGCTCGAGGAGCTGTGGTCAGATCCTGCCAGATCCAAAATCCTCACCCGAGTCCCTGCCTCTCCCCACACCCATCAGGGGCTCAGGGACCTGCTGTCACTGGCACGGAGCAGGTGAGGCCAGTGGGAGCAGCAGGGATTTTGGGGAGCCCACCCAGCACAGAAGGATTTGCCCCAGCTCCAGCCAGAGCAGCAAGGAACAACTCAGGAGGTCCCTGTCCCATATCATGGGCCTCAGGAACAGGGAAGGCTGTGGGGACCAATCCCCCCTGGCAGTTCCCAGCTCAGGGAGCATCACCTGTGTCCCCTGAGCCCCACAGGTGACAAATCCATCTCCCAGGGTTGGTGTGTCCCTGCTGACAGGGCACAGTGTCTGCAAATCCACGGCAGCAGCAAAGACCAGGTTTTTCTTGAGGAGCCTCTGGTAGAGCAGGGAGGGAGGAAGAAACCTTTCCCTTTGCCACAGGACATGAAGGGACAGCAGCTGACAGGGCACGGCCCTGAGAAACCCAGAGCAGCTTTTGCTCCTGTTGGGCCAAATGCTGCTCCAGCAGGGAATGATGATCCCATCCCAGGCACACCAGGGATGCAGGAAGGGACACAACAGCAAGATCAGGGACCCCAGACCAGGCTGTCACTGTTGTTGACACATGGTGCAGCCACTTCTAACACAAATCCCAGTGCAGGCCAACACTGGTTGATATGGCACCTGCCCTCCACAGAGGGTGTGAGTTCCCAAAAATCCAGGTGCTGCTAAGCCAAGGCTGGGCAGGGTGAAGGAAAAGGACACTCTGCTCTAGAGCAACATCTCCCAGACCTGCTGCTTGTTCTGCTGGATTTCTGCCACTTCAGGCAGTTTGGGGCTGCCCAAGCTTGGCTCTGGCCTGGCACAGAGGTTTTGCAGCCCAACCCATCTTGCTTGAGATTGCACCAGAGATGGCAAAGCCCTCTGAAAAACAACAGCACCACTGCAAAGCAATCCAAACCCATCACTGACTCCCAGGATTTTATTAATTCATCCCAGGAAAAACAGGTCACACTAAACCCACCTGGGGCCCCAAAAGGGCTAAATCACTAAAAAGGGTACATCCATCTTCTGCTCCTCATCTGAATCTGTCCCTGCTGCCCTTTGAGATGAGGAGAAG